GTTAAAGGACTTAGATATTGATACGACGACAACAGAATATTATCGTATCAATACAAAGTATTTGATTGAAACGTGTGAATACCTAGTACATAAGCTGTTCCCTTTCCATGCCCTAATACATATCGTAGATACATACGTACCGCCGAATGTTCCATGTAAACATCAACAACACTTCTACAGACGGAAAGCTGTACCAGTCCTGTGCAAGGACTAAAAAATCTTCCTCCACGGACTCAGTTTCTTGAATCTGCACAGCAAAAGGTTCGATAGATAAAGTTTAAAAACCAAACTGACAAACAGTATAAAAACGTATGAGACGAAGAAAACATTAGAACAAATTGAGACAGAGACGATGTTGACTACTAACGCCGCCTTGAAACTTGTCTTTATTAGTTATATATAGTTTGTTTGTATCAGTCCGCTTATTGTAGATACTAGTATTAATAAATATGACGCGAAACTATAATAAAACATAGCGTGGTATAAAATAAATAAGATTTTCGAAATGAAAAACATATAAACAAAGTTACTTTTCCTGTAAACAGATTGTAATATATCACCAACTGTAGTAAATAACTACCGTTTGTTTGCTGGTTCTAGGGAGAACGATTAGAGCTCCAGCAAGACCGTCTGTCCTTTGTACACCATGGTGAGAATGATACCAGTGTGTCCCAACCGGCTCCGCAAAAAACCTGAATCGAAATGGACACAATGAACGAGAGGGAAATAATGAAAACTTGCAAAAACTATATCATTCATTCACCGTTTCATTTTTAAATATCAACTTATTTGTAATTGAAAATTAGACAAAAGGAAATGGTAAGGGATAAACAAAAGACGAATTATATACATAGCTAGCATACAGAGTTAAGGTTATGTTAAAGTACCTGATTAATAGATTACGCTTCTACAACTTCAAATCAATCTATATACTTAACTATATATTAAAAAAGCCGGTACAAGAAAACTCTGCTCCTTCTACCTGTATGTAAAGGACTGTCCAGGACTGATAGGACACTGGCTAACCATGTCTACTCCGTCCATCCACGGCGTTCCCCTCTGATAGATACCATGCCAGTGGATAGTGACGCCTTCATTTACTAGGTCGTTTTTAACATTAACAACCACCTTCCAAGAAAAATGCAATATCATGTTTAAAACATCACAGATATATATGGCATATCATTTGACGCTAGTTTAAAAAAGTGTGCATTATCGTTTTTTAATCACAACGAAGTCCGACTGATGTATACTGATATATACATGTATATCATTTCAAATAAAACCTTCAATTCTTTGGTGTATTTTTTCTGTAATTTTATTTTTTTAAATACTAATGAAATGGAGAACTTCGAAGGGAGACAACTATTTTGAATACAATTAGGTGGTGTGATTATACCAATATTTGTATACTTACTTATATGTTTTAAACAATAAGGAAATTATCTATCTCTATTAGGAATGTGACATTGATAAGACTCATTCAAGCTGAAACTCAATAGCCTCTTGTAAGTGTCATGCATTTCTCGACGTATGTGTCAAGTTCACCAAAATGTAACGTTCTATAGTCGTTTTATTAGTTCTTAAGATTAAAACATAAATCAAGGAAAGCTATATGGACAAGACACCACGTTAAAGTGTTTATTATGATTTGATTGGCTATCATGTGGTATCTCCCTCTTATAACGGAATGCTGCTCATTGTTGAACCTTATTTGAGTGCGTTAATTGAATGTCAGCATACGTATAACGTGCGAAATAATTACCTGGCGACAGACCTAGTGCCAAATATAGAGAAAATACCAAATTACTTGTAGCTTATCGACAAGTGAGATAATAAAAAATTAGAACCATACTTTAATACTCAATTAATTAACTATAAAAAAAGAATTCAAATACAACCTACCTCCTGACCTTGGTAGACCACTATAGACGGTCCAGGAAACTGCCCATTTACAGTGTAGAGAATTTTATACTGACCATCTGCTGTTATGGTGTCGGTAATTGCTACATATAATAAACAAATGAATGTGTCCTATAATGTATACTAAAATATGTTTATTATATGGTAAGTATTACGAGCATTTTAATGGCAATAATTATACTCCATGTAAATATACAATCACATTTTGTTTTCTAATGGCGACCTACTTCATCACCGAAATAGACTGATCTTGTGTCATTCCAAATCTCATGGAAAGATGCTCAGCTCAGTTGGCGTATTTTCCAACGGTAAATATATCCATCAGATGATGTGCAGTTTTGCTTGTTTCCTGATGCATCACTCGCTAACCGATATGTATAATTATGTTGGTTTATTTGTTCAGTGTTCTGATGATTTGACGTTTTCTACGGCATTACGTCTGTAATAAATGCTGTACTCCTCCCGATATATAACGTTGATATACTCACTCCGTTACACGGACGGCATGCCTCACAGTTCATCAGTCCCATTATATACTGCAACCCTTTTTTCTGCTCATTCCCCTAGTATGTTTACACCTACGGAGTTAAGATGGTAATCTGGGATCACATTGGCTGTTCGATCGCCCCTAGACACATTCTTTTTTTTATAACCAAGACTTAATTATTCCTTGAACAGACGATTGTATTGAAATGAAAAAGAAAAGCAATTAGGCTAAGCGTATTAATCCGTAGGTGAAAGGTCAAAGAATGGAAGAGGCGGAGATTTGTTAAGTTATACTGGTGTTGCAAGTATTATTAATTTTTTTTTCATTCTACAAAAACTGAGAGCACAAGGTTAGCTTCCGATTTCACTTTTAGATCTTTTGACATAATTTGACTTATTAAAATGAAAAGAATCTCATCATCATCTATGTCGATCATATACACCCATTTCGTGTACATCAACCTCTTACTTAAATTTTAACTTATAACCTGACTTATAAACTGACCAACAGAGGAAGGCTTATTTCAAAGTTGTAAGGTTATATGTAATCTTATGATATCTATTTAACGACCATGAACTTTTCCTTACTTGATACACACATCCCGCACCCTCTTGTAATACGTCTAGATGCACACACACACACACACACACACACACACACTTTTTATAATTAATGAGCAGCTTCCTTTTTCTTTCTTTCTTTCTGAAATAATTTTGAAAAAGGGATTCAACAACATTTATCGATCAAGACCTATTTTGCACATCATGATCATGACGTCTAAATTTTATTTTATATTTCAAATACCTGGTAAATGCCCTTTAACCGATTTAAAAGTTCAAATTACAGTTTAACAACATGTCGCAACTCTTGCTGTTTTATAGCCAGATTTAGTTACGATATTACATAGATAACTCTGAATCACTTTGTTTTCACGACAGATGATCACTGTTGTGCGCGCATGTTATTTTCGTGAAGAGAACCGAGCTATTTCATTTTTGAACAAAAGTTCCATTTATAAATTAGTAACAGTATTGAAATAACATCATCTCATACACTAATTCAAATATAGTCAGCTGTACATGTGATAATAATGTGACGGACAATAACCTGTAGAGTGCAACGGTTACTCTGACGTCATACAGTACAACGCTTTATCATTGTTATAACAAGAACATGTTAATTAATCTATAATTTACCTTTTTATTAATACTATTTGATTATTACATTTGCTCTCTCCTGTAAGACCTACCTTCCAGGGTGGCTTCCTCGTACTCTTCACAATCAATCCGTTTGTATATGGTTTCGTTAGCATAAACTAAAGGAAATACACGGCCCACCTCTGTATCATTGCCGTGAAACAATAACATTGTCGACGTGTGGTTGATAGTCCAATTAAATTCACAAATTTCGTCGTCCTCGCTACAACTCGGCGTGACATGATGATCAAATCTTAAAGTTTTGTATCCAGAAACTAGATATACGCTGGTGATGATCAGGAAAGTAGTCGTGGACGCACGAATAGACATGTTCTTACAGCGAGTGGAATTTGTGAGACACTGAATACCCCTATATAATCATACGTTCCCAGCGGTTACCCCGTCAAAATCAACGGTCTTACACGTTGACCTACTTATTTTTTGCTTTGTGCGCGGTTGTTTTGTTAACATCCGTTACATAGCAATGTGTGCAGTGAGCTTGCACTAACAGTATGTCCATGCAGTTATGGACTAAGACCACAATTAATTGTACTATTTGTTTCATATTAACATTTAATTTCATATACAAATCTCAAGATTTGATTGCCAACTTTCCATCTTACCTGGTCGAGGGAGTAAAATATTAAAATTTCAACATAGCATGTTAGCCTTTTTCTTGAGATAATTCTTATTTAGTGGTAGAGGTAAACACAGGACTCATCACACAGCACCCTGCACATGTTACATATATATAACTACCTAAAGAGGGAGCCTCCATGTGGTGGTAGTCGGACAATGTTGTATCTGTGTATATTAAACCATAGCTTATACCCTCAAAAATATTATTTTGTGTTTTGTTTTCAATCAGGCACACATTTGTTTGTCTCTGTTTCTAGCGCGATTTTCACAGTAAATATGTGAAGTGAGTTTTTTTCTTAGCAAGAATATTGAAATATTATCTTTGAAACATAAACGTTTGTAGAAGTATCTTAACAAACAATAATCACTTAACGTCACTGGTGAATATTTGTGTAATTGCTAATGTAAGTGTCGTGTGGTAATGTGAATACATGTGTATGTGTGTATGGTGCAAGGGTTCTTGCTATCCGATAACGATATCTCTTTTTTTTGTTCAGATTACAATTTTAACACAGCTTAATGATACATTTTACCATAAACTGTTGCTAAATGTTTCGTAAAGCTTTGGATTTGTTTATACAATTATAACAATTTATTCTTTTTGTTGCATTTTTATAATATTACTGCACACTGCTAATTTCCACGAACACGAATAGTTCTAGCTCTCTTGACTGTTAAATAATCTTATAGTTATACAATATATCAAAACTGAAAAGTTAAAAAAACAAAGACAAAGAAAACGTTAATTTTGTAAGATGAAATAATGTTTATTGTAGGGAAAAGAGTATAAAAGATACACTTAAACAAAAAAGCACCAGTAATGAAACTACCTACAGTAGCTGAGTATTCCCTAAAAATGATGAAGCAGAAGTAATTGACAGATACGAAGGTAATAACGGACAAAAAATAAACAGAAATTTAATCTCCTTAGCTTATGAAAATTGTTCTTACAGGACTAATATCTTGGAAGTACACAATTTTGTAGCATTTTCATATCATATCATGACAATAACATGGTATAATATGTGATGTTAATGCAATGATGTATTTTCAAAAGGTCAAATAATAGTCCGAGCATAAATATGTAAACTGCACATTTATCGCAAAAATGGAAATTATTAACAGCAAATCAGGGGGAAACCTTGGGAAAACCCGGGAGATCAAACAATGTATAAACATTCATAAACTTGCTTTATTATAATGTTTCCCTGTAAACCACAAAAACATGTACTAATATTCCTACTACAAAAGCCATACTCGAAGTACTTACTAGTACTAGTATTCCTCTTACAATAGCCACACACGCCAGTACTTACTACACCTAGCATTCCCTCTACATAGCCAGACCATTAGTACTTTCTAGTACTAGAATTACTCCTACCATAGCCAGACCCTTAGTGCTTCCTAGTACTAGTATTCCTCCTACCATATTCAAACCCACAGTACTAACTAGTACTAGTATTACTCCTACCATAGCCAGACCCTTAGTACTGACTACTGCTAGTATTACTCCTACCATAGCCAGACACACAGTAATAACTATTACTAGTATTACTCCTACCATAGCAAGATCCACAGTACTAACTAGTACTAGTATTACTCCTACCATAGCCAGACCATAACTACTTACTAGAACTGGTATTCCTCCTACCATAGCCAGACCCTTAGTACTTTAAAGTACTAGTATTCCTCCTACCATAGCCAGACCCACAGTACTTTCTAGTACTAGTATTACTCCTACCATAGCCAGACCATTGGTACTGACTACTACTAGTATTCCTCATACCAACGCCAGACCCGCAGTACTCGCTAGCACTAGTATTCCTCCTACCAACGCCAGACCCACATTACCAACGCCAGACCCACGGTACGTACAAGTACTGGTATTCCTCCTACCAACGCCAGACCCACAGTATTAACGCCAGACCCACGGTACTTACTAGTACTGGTATTCCTCCTACCAACGCCAGACCCACAGTACCAACGTCAGACCCACCATACCAACGCCAGACTCACAGAACTCGCTAGCACTAGTATTCCTCCTACCAACGCCAGACCCACAGTACCAACGCCAGACCCACGGTACGTACAAGTACTGATATTCCTCCTACCAACGCCAGACCCACAGTACCAACGCCAGACCCACGGTACTTACTAGTACTGGTATTCCTCCCACCATAGCCAGATCCTTAGTACTTTTTAGCACTAATATTCATCCTACAATAGATGACCCTTATAACTTACTAGTGCTAGTACTCCGCCTTTCATAGCTAGACCCTGTATTAGTTTTCCTACAAAAGCCAAACACTTTGTACTATTTAATACTAGTCCTCCTACCATAGCCAGACCCACAGTACTTACTAGTACTAATATTCTTCCTACCATAGCCAGACTCTTAGTACTTACCAGTACTAGTATTACCCATTCCATAACCAGACACCCAATACTCACTAGTACTTGTATTTCTCCAACCATAGCCAGACACCAATCACTTACTAGTAATTGTATTTCTTCTACCAGAGCCAGACACCCAGCACTTACTAGTAATTGTATTTCTTCTACCATAGCCAGACACCCAGTACTTACTTGTTATTGTATTTCTTCTAACATAGCAAGGCCCCTCAGTACTTACTAGTACTTGAATTTCGCCTACCATAGCCAGACCCCGAAATCTGTTTATTTTAGTACTAGCATTTCCCAAACAATAACCGGATCATTGTTTACTGGTACATTGCCTAACATTTTTGGATTTCTCAATATCCACCTCACGTTTTTGGCCATATAGACATAGATATATTTTTAAATGTACTAGTTGCAAGTCAGCATGTTTTGGTGCACGGGTTTTTATATTGTGTTTTGCCATCTTTTGTGTAAAGATCACGAGGTAAAATATCACGAGACTAGCACAACTTTCCACATGAATGGTTTACTTTATGCCTTATTTAATGTTAACCTCGAAACGTTCTAGTTCTGCAGCGCACGTCGAGTAACTTGTGACACGTTACCATGTGATCAGTATATGTGGATCTGCCATATTAAGTTATTCTATTGTTGTAAAAAAAATAGCAAGTCCGATCAAGTACATTTATAGGCTAATAATCTTTAAATATCGAATATAGATAATACATGTAATATTAAGGCACTTTTCAACCAATTAGTACAAAACCCCCCTCTCTTTTTTGTTAATGTGTAAGATTATATACTGGTGTAAGAATGTTTGTCGTATTTGTTCATGTAAACATGGTTCCCAAATGTCTCTGGTTCTGTTCGTTCGTTGATTTCTATCCGCCGGTTGAGCTTGACTGCCTCGATGTTACTGATCTTATCGGTGTACTTGACTTTCACGTACAAAACAGCCAGGCTAGTGATGTTTAGTACACATAGTATACAAATCACCGCGATGTAGCTAGGCTCCTTCACCTTGAAATGGTCCCAATGTCCACAAGGCATGCTGTCGGAGGCTGAAATGGGAAATATTGGTAAAATAAATTGTTGGCGATGCATTTAAGTTTTTCTGAACTTCTAATTAAAAGAATAAAGTTATGTAAATCTTTTGTTTTAGGGAATAAAATAAAAGCACATGGCCCAGTATACTAAATGCTTATCATTACCATACTATGGTCTTTAAACGTGTTTCACTCCCCGTAACTCCTGTAATAATATAAATAGGGCTTCAATCAATGTTCTAAAATCTAAAAAGAAATCTATACGTTTACACATTAACTGCTTGGTTATTATCTGATTTTGACTTTACGATGATGTCGTTTTAATTATTGTCTAATATTTCAAAAATAACATACCTGTTTAATTGTCAGAAAGATGGACGTAACACAAACACACACATGTGTTTGTACTATTAAAAATTAACCGACCATTTCAAGTTTTAAGCCTTATAAAATTCGAATTTTAATAAAAGAATAAACACTTAAAAACGCGTTAACAAGCAATCACAAATAAAAAAGGAATAAATAATTCAAAATGGCACCTATATTGATTACTGAATTAATTCGAAAATTGAAGATATGTCTGGAAATAAAACTGGTTTTCACTAGTTAAGTCTGTGGTTTAAACTTTTATGTAAGAAAGTTAACTGTGGTGAGAGGATTAGTACGATATGTATCTTACTATGTCAATCAAAAACGATTTGATGAAAAACACAAATTGTATATATATTCTTTATTTATCATACACACTGTTATGAGTATCCTAAGCATTGTTATTTTTATCAATCATTTATTTTTGTTTGTGGCAACTATCTCTAGAATTTAACATATACAATACAGCTTTACATCCTGTTCTCTGTGACCATTTTTGTTACATGTTTGAAGTAATTTCTTCTTTCGTGTATAGGAACAGTATTAGATATGATTAAAATATTTAATTCAATTTGTCCATAAAATGATCCAGATAAGCGACATGAAAATATCAATGAAATTATTAATGCTCAACAATAAGTGTCTTCATATTTTTTCCCTCACGATTATAAAAAAAAATTCGAGAGAGTACTTTTGCGTAATTTTTTCAGGTAAAGCAAATTTTATTGTATGTTAACTTCCAGATGTTACATATGTTATTAGATAATCCACATTTTCAAAGGTACAGAAAACAATTATTAATAGAAGAACCCGTATTAAAATCCTTTTTAGATTTTGTTATGTACTTATCCAATCCAACGTCTCAGAAAGAGAAAGTGTTTCGTTATTTTAATGGCATAAACCTTGTAACATTGTGTTATAATGGTACAGATTAATAATATCTCTATCAATTCATATAACCAATTATTTTCTTACAAACTTATTAAAGCAATTAAAATGAATTGTTGTTGTGTTTTTAGTTACCTAAATCATTATTTGATAAAGATAATCGAGGATTGTCGGTACATATAATGTTTCTATCATGATACGCTCAATTTAAAAATTATTATCCAATTTTTTAAAATATCTACCAAATGCAAATGAAACAGCAGCTTTAAGACAATATGACCTAGGATTACCTGAGTTCAAAGTGCAAAAATAATCTAAATACATTTACACTTTTCGTACATGCGTCCTATGTTTATAGGATTGTTTATGCTCATTACATAACAAATGAATATAAAGTGTCGTCATATGACTGTTTTATTACATTGTTATTATTTAGTTACGTCATATGGTTGTTGCATCGCATTGTTACTACATATGTATCTAGTTACGTTACGTCGTATGACGGTTGTATACATGTGTTACTATTGTGCTTTGTCATATGACTGTTGTATTGCATTGTTACTTTGAAGTGTTGTAAAATGGCTGCGGTATTACATTGCAACTATTAAGTGTCGTCATAGGACTGTTTAAACTGATTGTTGTTTTTTAGTTTCATCATTTGTCTGATAAATTACATTTTTATAATCAAATGGCTCCTGTTTTACATTATTATTATTATTATGTGTCGTATTATGGCTGATGTATCACATTGTTACTGTTTAGTTTTGTCATATGACTGTTGTATTACATTGCTAATATTTAGCGTCGTCATATGAATTTTGTATTTCAGTGTTTGATTATTGAGTTGCATACGGCTGTTGCGTTACAGTGTTACTATTTACTGTCGTCATATGACTGTTGCTAAACATTGATTCTGTTAAGTGTCGTCATATGGCTGTTGCATTACATTCCAACTATAAAGTTTCCTCAAATAGCTCCTGTAATACATTGTTAGTATTTTGGGTCGTCATATGGCTGTGGTATTACATTGTTAATAGTATGTGTCGTCATATGGCTGTGGTATTACCTTGTTATTATTATGTGTCGTCATATGGCTGTTGTAGTACCTTGCTATTATTATGTGTCGTCATATGGCTGTGGTATTACCTTGTTATTATTATGTGTCGTCATATGGCTGTGGTATTACCTTGTTAGTATTATGTGTCGTCATATGGCTGTGGTATTACCTTATTATTATGTGTCGTCATATGGCTGTGGTATTACCTTGTTACTATTATGTGTCGTCATATGGCTGTGGTATTACATTGTTACTATTAAGCTTCGTCATATAGCTGCTGTATTAAACTGTTACTATTGTAATTTGTCTTTGCGTGTTTTAAAAAAATATGGTTTATTTTGTCCGTTTGTATAAACACTAAAGTACATTTTGTCTTTTTGTCATTGTGTATAGCCAATGTGGTATTTCTTTTTGTTGCATTTAAAATTGCTTTTTTGATAATTAACACTATGGTGTTTTTGTTCCTAAGACTTAACACTTTGCTTATTATTTTGTACTTGCCTATTAATATGTTAGTATTTTGTTATTGTCTTTTGATATTTAAGTGTTTTATCCTTGTCGATTAATATTTCAGTGTTTTATCCTTGTCTATTAAAATTTGTAATAGTTTGTTCTTATTGGTGAATATTCTAGTAGTCCATCTGTTTAATACTGTGTTATAATGCGTGCTGTTGTGTTAATGCTGTGTGTTGTATCTTGCTCTGGTACGTTAACATTGTGGTAACTTTATCTTTCAGTAATAATGCTGTGTAAATTTTATCGTGATGCTGAGGTATTTGTCCTTCTGATTTATTTGAAACAGTGACCTTTTTATATCATATTATTTTTTTTATTTTGTACAGAGCCAACTACGTTGAAATATATTGCTACAGTTGTCACATTAGTGTTATTTTATTATCACCTGTTGATTTATGACGATTTGGTTAGATGGAGACGGAGATTACAATCACAATATCTGTTACACACGATATACTCCAGTATATGTTAACAATGTCTCCTCGTGATTTACCTGGAATTTGGTCTGATGATAAGGTGTTGAGAAGGCTATTCCCTTTCAGAAGATTTGTCGAAGCACCTAGTGAGAAAAAGTTACCACATCCTTGTAGTCCTGATGGAGGGGTTGGCATCTGTCCAGTTTCTCCCTCTTGTAGAATGAGTGCCATCCCTGTTATTGCGTGGGGTTCCATATGGCAGTGCATGAACCAAAACCCTGGCAGTAGACGGTATGAGTTGTTTTAAGGAGGAGTAGATAAAGGTTTACTGTTCTCAGTTTATATGTTAGGTACAGAAGTAAGTCATGACTATCTTATGGATAAAATACCATAAAGATTTATTCTACTGATTGTAAGGGGAATATAAAGGATATTTAGAGGTTAAACGGGAAATGTTTAACGTTTTCTTTATGACATCTTTTTAGGTCCCTACAATAACAAAAATACCTATGCATCATAGACGTCTAGCGTAATCTATGGCCCCATTATCTAAAGATTGACATTTTTGAATTGGCTATTCAACACATTTTCTGGTATTATCACATTGATTATGCTCAGTAGTGTGCCTTATGGCTTTGTTGTCACAACCTTATTTCAAGCCGTGAAGACGTGACATATAATTGACCTATATGTACATGGTAGGTGGCGTCAATAAAGCAAAGGACGCTTAACATTATGGAACACCTGGTCTTATTACTTGGAATTAATTCCTTCGTGCGTATTTTGCCATAGTTTTATCAGTTATGAGTTTGAATTATGATTTAAATCACACCTAAATATTCTCTATGTTAACCGCCTATCAACTATCACTTAATCTTTTAAACTGTGTTGTGGCTTTCAATTACAGGGAGTAGAAAGTACTATTCTGATTGGTCGATATGATGATATAATGCTTATATCTGTTGTCTGTACACTTCATTTGCTTTTTATTTTCGTTCGACAAGCTAGACATATTGCTTCTTAGAAATTGGATTATCTAAACATAAAGCACAGCACATGTTAAGATATTATTGAACTATTACATATCGAAGGTTTAATTTATAAAATGGGGCAAATTGTTTGTTATCTTTTGTCAAATTATACTTTCCTGCTAAAACATTTTTTGTCATAATTTTCAAATGCAAAAGAAAGTAAAAAGTAAAAATATGAGTTTAAAATACCTGGGTTGTCTGCTTTGAATCTCACAACCACGTAACCTTGCCGGGGAACCAGGATTGTATCCTTCAATGGCGGATCCTCCATGTTGGCTTCAGGCAGACCATCCCCTGCCCAGGACGGGTTTAGCCAAGTCGCATGGTTACAGATTGGCGTATCACACAGAATGTCAGCATTCTGCTCAGTGATACGTCCAGTAGAATCGGTGTTGTATTTAGGATAGCCGACCTTTATGACGTGAACATGATGCCCATGTATATGAATTCCATGAGCCAGACCATTTCTGCTGTTATCTGATCATTTCAAAACGAAGCTATGTCAGCTAGCAACGAATAAAGTATTTTTAACGACAATCAATATACCCTATGTTATTATAGGGATGATAAATATATTAGCCTAAAAATAGAAATTGAACCCCTTTCCAAGAAGCACAGTAATCAATTGATAAGGGTTAAGTGCTTTGTTTACATATTTTTCAGCAAATCATATATTGTATTTTTTTAATTATTATTGAACTTCATCCGTCCGAGCGTACCCATATTGAGGAGAACTAGTTGAATGGTATCGTTGATTGCCAACTTGACGATATTGGTACAGTCACATATATCCTGACATTCTGCATCAGCACAGCGAACGTGTGTGTCATTACCACTAGGTAGCAACTGTAAAGGTAAATCATAATGAATTCAAACGTCACCATCAACAATACTGATAGACAAAATAGAAACAAACGGTAACCCATGACGCATCATGACAGACAATGACAGTTCGCCAAGTGATACCATGACAGAAAATAACAGTTAGCCATGTGCAAAAATTAACAGAAAATAACAGTTAGCCATGTGAAAACATGACAGAAAATAACAGTTAACCATGTAAAACATGACAGAAAATAAAAGTTAGCCATGTGAAAACATGACAGCCAATAACAGTTAGCCATGTGAAAACATGAGAGAACATAACAGTTAACCATGTGAAAATATGACATAAAATAACAGTTAACCAAGTGAAAACATGACAGGAAATAACAGTTAGCCATGTTAAAACATGACAGAAAATAACATTTAACCATGTGAAAACATGACAGAAATAACAGTTAGGCATGTGAAAACATGACATAATATAACAGTTAACCATGTGAAAAAATGACAGAAAATAACAGTTATACATGTGAAAACATGACAGAAATAACAGTTAGGCATGTTAAAACATGACATAAAATAACAGTTAACCAAGTGAAAACATGATAGAAAATAACAGTTAGCCATGTGAAAACATGACAGAAAATAACAGTTAGGCATGTGATAACATGACAGACAGAAACAGTAACTCGGGATAACATAACATGCTATCATGACAGACAACTACAGTTACACAGGATATTGCAGTAACAGGAATTATAACGACAGATATTGACTAAATAAGGAAAAATGCATAAACTTCCACAAAATTGGAAATTGACACCACAGGTATCAAGTAAGATCACAATCATGAGTAAAGTTAGAAATAAGCATGTTCACTACAAAGTTAATCCATCGTACTATATTTCATTTGTAAAATCTAGCCGAATATGTTATTCGAAACAAAAAATATGTATAGCAACTCAAGCCGTAAGGCCAATAGAAGTTGTAAATTATAATGTAAATTAGGTATTATTACAACACACGACTTACCTGCAGCGGTACAGAAGGTCGGATAAACCTTTTCCCATTGATCGATGTAGGAAACGGGTCCGGGGAGCCACCTGTTTTCAATAGCGTGATGCTAAAAATTATGTTATGCTGCGTTGGTTACTCAAGTGTAATTACATTTGAATTATGAATCACTAAATGCTAAGCATATTAACTAATAAAACAATTGGAAAAATACTTGGAGTTCGGGATGACAAGAACAAAAGATAGAAATCTTAGTAAATGTATACATGTATTTAAATCAAATCTTAAAAACTACGACTTTAGCTACGAAACCCCTTACTAGACACGTATAAACGTAAACTTACGATAGATAATTATTAATATACTGAGATAGGCATTTAATCCTGAAGTTATAATAAGTCAGAGTGAGACTAACGAGTGTAGTGGAAGTTGAGGAAAATTTCCTGGAATGCGTCTGCCGACTCCAAGGAGACTGGGTGTTTTTGAATCACCTCAGGTGTTGACTTCATATCCCCAATCGACACACAATGAGTGTAGAGGTCATCTGGGTACTGCCTGTTTATAAACAAATGGACAAACTATCAGATACTGGCAACTCAAGCATCCTATGTTATTGTTGTATCAAATAGAGATATTTTTCCAAAAACGGTGATTAAACATTTTTTAAGAAATAAATGCATGGCTATTACAGATTATTTTAAACGTAATATTCGAGTAAGTTTATTTCCAGGTGTGGTGTTTAAGATTTGTCAAAATTGATAATATGACTCATAAATTAAAAGTGACACTTTGATGAAAAATCAGTTGCGGAAGGAAAAGGTAGGATAGTGAAAAGGAAATATTTGTTACACTATTATTCATTTGGTAACGTAAAATGTCGTATATTTTAGTTACCCGAAGAGGCAGTTCACCACGATACATGGTCTAGTAACGTCACACCTTGTTCTCTCCGTGTCAGGTACAAGTGAATTAGACCCCTCGTAGCGTAGAATACCTAAAGTCTGGTAGCACACAAACGGGTTATCAATACTAGGTTTTGTTTGTTTCATTACACTTTAAATACAATTGAAGTTCATAATTCAGATGCTTGTAGCACTATATTTTTATTATAAGCTTGTATTGACATAGATTTATTTGGGTTTTTTAATTCCTATAATTCGTACAATATCTTTTTTTTTTTTTAATTTTTTTTTTTGGAAAATTGTTAAACTATATTTTGTACTTTATGACATAGCATTTACCATAATGTCTTGATCAATGCGTCCTGTTGACCAATAGAAGTAGCACATGGGATATTGTCTATATTCAGAAATTTCAACAGTCGTCTTTATAACATAGTTTGCTATATGGTACATTGTATGTGAGTTTGAAACGTTTTAGATATAACGTTCCAGTTCATGGACTGAAAATTTTAAACGTGACAGGTCAAACTAATCATAGTTTTATATGTAATCAATGTAAATAATTGATAAGACGGTTATGTAAGTACATCCTCAATAGTATGCATTCACAATTAACACGGCTTTTTAATGCCTTGATATATTTTCATATACAATGTACATGTCGTGCTATTTCACATTTTAGACTTGACATCTACGATATATACAGTACAAAATAAAATAAAATATATAGATTTAAGGTGATTATTAACATGTAAAAAAGAAATTAAGTTATTTTGCTAACTTTAAAGTAAAATGAAAAATTCTGTAATGAGTTTCTAGTTTCTCAAATTCAATTGGAGTACAATTTAAAATATCTCATTTGTTTTCTTTTTTTAAATTTAGAATCTACTCGAGATTCATTATATGTATTGCTCTTGTCGCAGGCCCCCATTGTGAGAAATGATAATCCTTAAATGAATAAATTATCGTGTGTCCCTTCCACAAAGGTTAAAGATATGATAATGATGCCGAATAAAACGATAACATAATACAGTGTAGTTCTGTTGACCAGGTAAGATGCTTCTAAATCAAAGTTTTTAATGTGAAATGTTATTTAAAAACATGTTTTGTATTGATAGATTATAAACTTGTTAGTAATAGCAAATTATATAGTATATGTGTTTTGTACATAGAGAATCTGTCCTACGTTTCCCTTTATGCCAGATTTATGATACAAATTTCGGACTTTTCATGTTTGCAAGCCTCATATAATACAAAGTAAACTGTATAATTGTGATCTGAAACGAATATTTTGCACTTTGCTGCCTCTAAAACGACGAAAATTGCGCCCGCTTCACAATAACGTGATGTCACATTGATTATTCCTATTCGATTGTGATGTCATTTCCAGAGTGATATTTCACACGTTACATAAACATAGTTTATGTGATAGCTTTATGACTCTACATAACACGGTATTCATATGATAAATGATTTTATTATACAGTATTTGTATGATGTCATCAACTTAAAAGACAAAAAATAAAAATGAAATATTATGAACTCTAAAGTAGGGGAAGATTACAGCACATACTAAACATAGAGTACAAAATATACTTATCCCAAGTTCTATTTATCTAGTCTTTGTACTGATGGCGGTCTAATGGTTTAAGTTATAAATCTAGAGAGTTAAAGGATGTTTTGCTATTTACGTCGTATTCATCGAAGGAATCTTTTAAGAACTGTACTAAATGGAAGTAGATACATTAAAATGATGTATACAGTGACAGTAACATTCATTGACGTCCGGGTGACCCCTGTAATTGTAGTGACAACAGTTATTGATCGATTTCCCCATATGACAGTTTACTAGTCAAGCGTTGATAACATGAATTGTGGCAAAAATGTGTTGACACTAAACATAATTTTCATGTGAAGACTTTAAGATTGCTATGCAAGCCCAATCCATCTTATCGTTATCAACAGGACAAAAACGAAACAACAATAGGCAACACTTGTGCGACTTAGAAAACACACCACGTGAGCAACTTGTTCTTCTTAAAAGTACAATGATTGAATGATTGTGGGAAAGTTTTAAAGTAATTTGAATGTGTCGTTTTGTTAGTTCTATGATATTTTGACAAAATCGTAAGCTTTATATATCTAAAAAACTGTACCTGGTTTTGTCCGCCGTTTGCCAGTGTTGATACCCTAATCCAGTAACTTCCGATTGGTTGGTCCGTCCGCACCAGCATATCAAAACGCTCCCCACCATTGATAATAACGGCGTCACCTCTAACGCCAACAATTGCGTTCCCGTCCACGGCAACAACCTCCAGCTCGTGCTAGTGAGTTTTAACAGTTATGATATTTTTAATAGCATCGGAAATATTTATAATTATGTTTAAAAATGAATACGCTAGAGGATGCAATAATCATTGCTTATAAATTGTATGAACTCAAAACAATAAAGAATAAAATAACAACTTTCTTCGGCTGACTTTCTTAACACTTATTTTAGAGAGAGAAAAAAATCACGTTGATTACTCACGCGCTCAATGGACTGTATTGCTCATTATCAATCATACTTAATTAAGAATGATATATGTATCATTTATCAGAAAGTCGTCCTCAGAATAAAATTTCAAAAAAAGAGATACATATTTGCGCTCTGTTTTGTTAAATATTGTTTAGCAACTCCTTTTATGAAGTCGACGGCCAGGTTACCTGATCGACGGACACCTGTAATGGGTAAACCATTGTAGCGCTGATCACTCGGAATCTGTACGTATCATTAGCTGTCACATTGAAAGTCTCAACTGTCCATTGTACGCTGTCTGCAGTCATATTTGTCAAAAATGAGTTTCCTGAATAAACATAGAAAGTTTATTGTTTTGTATTAAAAAGTCTAGAGTTTTTATATATTTAATATTAATAGTATATTACCATGTGTAAGGGGTTTGTTGGTGTCCCTCGCTTTTGGAAGAGTTAGAGATCTCTGTACAGTTTCAAAACGGGGTCCATGAACGAGTTTGTGTATGTGCCATCTGACTTCTGGGTAACTTGCCTGTAAATTATCTGTCTATAGTTTTTAGTTGGTGTCAATGATCTGGTTTGTGTTTGTGTCATCTGACTTCTGGGCACTTACCTGTAAATTATCTGTCTATAGTTTTTAGTTGGTGTCAATGATCTGGTTTGTGTTTGTGTCATCTGACTTCTGGGCACTTACCTGTAAATTATCTGTCTATAGTTTTTAGTTGGTGTCAATGATCTGGTTTGTGTTTGTGTCATCTGACTTCTGGGCACTTACCTGTAAATTATCTGTCTATAGTTTTTAGTTGGTGTCAATGATCTGGTTTGTGTTTGTGTCATCTGACTTCTGGGCACTTACCTGTAAATTATCTGTCTATAGTTTTTAGTTGGTGTCAATGATCTGGTTTGTGTTTGTGTCATCTGACTTCTGGGCACTTACCTGTAAATTATCTGTCTATAGTTTTTAGTTGGTGTCAATGATCTGGTTTGTGTTTGTGTCATCTGACTTCTGGGCACTTACCTGTAAATTATCTGTCTATAATTTTTAAGTTGGTGTCAATGATCTGGTTTGTGTTTGTGTCATCTGACTTCTGGGCACTTACCTGTAAATTATCTGTCTATAATTTTTAAGTTGGTGTCAATGATCTGGTTTGTGTTTGTGTCATCTGACTTCTGGGCACTTACCTGTAAATTATCTGTCTATAGTTTTTAGTTGGTGTCAATGATCTGGTTTGTGTTTGTGTCATCTGACTTCTGGGCACTTACCTGTAAATTATCTGTCTATAGTTTTTAAGTTGGTGTCAATGATCTGGTTTGTGTTTGTGTCATCTGACTTCTGGGCACTTACCTGTAAATTATCTGTCTATAGTTTTTAGTTGGTGTCAATGATCTGGTTTGTGTTTGTGTCATCTGACTTCTGGGCACTTACCTGTAAATTATCTGTCTATAGTTTTTAAGTTGGTGTCAATGATCTGGTTTGTGTTTGTGTCATCTGACTTCTGGGCACTTACCTGTAAATTATCTGTCTATAGTTTTTAGTTGGTGTCAATGATCTGGTTTGTGTTTGTGTCATCTGACTTCTGGGCACTTACCTGTAAATTATCTGTCTATAGTTTTTTAGTTGGTGTCAATGATCTGGTTTGTGTTTGTGTCATCTGACTTCTGGGGAACTTACCTGTAAATTATCTGTCTATAATTTTTAGTTTGTGTCAATGATCTAGTTTGTGTTTGTGCCATCTGACTACTGGGTAACTTGTCTGTAAATTATCTGTCTACAGTTTGTAGTTGGTGTAAATGATCTCGTTTGTGTTGGTGTCATCTCACTTATTGAACACTTACCTGTAAAGGATCTATTAACAGTTTTTAGTTGGTTTCAAAGATCTAGTTTGTTTTGATTGTCCTCGCTGCTTTCACGCCTAGTGATTTACTTCTGGTTTTTTGGGTGTCAAAAAAATATTTGGTTATACTGATCTTATGTATAAAAGGAATTGGTCTACAGGCATAGCCTTTATAAGCCCTCTCGTTACAAAACATAACAGTATATACAGATGTTTCTTTAAGTATTAAAATGAGGGATTATTTGTACTTTGAATTTAATTTGACAATACATATTTCAAATATCGCAATTGTTGTATGATAGGTTATTTTACAAAGCTATTTGAGAATCTAATAAAAACAGTCTGGTGTCTCTAATGTAATTCTGAATCGTTTCAACAACATTTATATTCATATTTACGTCTCGTGATTAAAAACCGTAAATAAAAGTTTGGGTATTGAGTGGAATAGCATCACTCATCGCTGACAGAGAGTTAAGTAATATTAGACTGGTTAAAAAGTGATCACGACGTTTGATTTTTTTGTGGATGTCCATGATATCGTTTGTTTTGATTGCCCTCTGCGTTTGCTGTTATATATTGGTGTGCTGACACCACGGAGTTTCTTTTCCTAAAATAATTGGTAACGTTAGCATTACACGTAACATAATTATAAACGAATATGCGCGATGACAATATTTTGTGTGTTTAAAATGGTCGCTTGCAAAACGATCAAATTGGCAATATGTGACCTTTTGTCTGATAATACCTACCCTTCCCATTAATGAGTATAGATTCAAAGGGAAGAAACCCAACATTCTCCTGATTAGCTCCAGCATATGGCACAAAACACTGGTCTGCATCGAATCCACGAAGAAACCTACATATACAAATGTTTAAACGTACAAATTCCGTAGAAAATTTGAAAGATTCATTGTATAATGTAAGGAAGTATGAAACAAAATTTGATGAGAGAAGTAAAAATAAATACAACAATAGCCACTCTTAAATGAGCAGAAGCTCAATAAGTGAGCAGTGTTAGTGATGAGAATAATTGGGGCAATCCCTGCTGAGGAAGCATGAAATTGGAGGTAAGTATACAAATCGTTACTGTAACACAAAGTGCGATTTTAGTACATATGGTTTACATAGATAAGTGGTTGAGATATATGTTTTTAAAACTTACTGTAGCATGCCCCAGTCAAGGAAGCTGATCAATTCGGTCGATGATTCATGGAACCAGTCTTGTAGGAACATCAGAAACTCTGTCTTTTTATTTTGATTTGCTTCCTAATAAGGAAAAAATATATATTTATACCGCTTTGATCATTTTCGTATTGTAAAATATATGCTTAACGTTTTATTTATGGTAGCGCAAGATTCATCCCACCTGCAGCTAATACACTCTCACCGACTTCCTCTTTCTTATCTTTCACTCTGTGCATATTCATTCCTTCTCTCTACCCCATTATTTCTGCATTCTCATGCATTAAGTACAAATTGCTAATCTCTTCATACCGTCTACAACATCGCCCAGGGAAGGAGGGCAATGGGTTCTGTCCCAGGCTGGAGCATACCAAAGTCCTTAGAAGTGGAACAGTTGTATGGGTTCTGTCCCAGACTCGCACACCCCCAAGTCCTTAGAAGTTGAACATCTGTATGGGTTCTGTCCCAGACTGGCACATTCGTAACTGTTGTTTCCTGCTTTACGTTCAGCATTAAGGGTAATGACAACAGCTAGTCAACCCGCTGTCAGTATAATGTGACTGGGTGAAATGCTATGCTTGGAGCCTTTGGCATGGTATTTCAGTGAGGTACATTGTAGCACTATAAAGTGAACATCAAATTCTCACAATCACATTTACATTTTTTTAATTTGATTGTTATGCATGTTGATGCTTATTTATGCTTTACTTAACGATATTACAGTGCCCCCATACTTAATATATGTTTACAAAATAGAAAGAACTAAAGTACCTCCTTTTCTTCTTCCCCCGTTCTCTCGAGGACTACCAATGCACCTGTTAGTCCCTCCGTCCTCTGCGCTCCATGATGAGAGTGATACCAATGAGTTCCACTGGGCTCAGCCAAAAAACTACATGTATAACGTCACACATAACTGTTATTTATAAGTCATAACAGTTTTTAATCAGATTCTGTTTGATACCAAAACTAGGATAAACACAATATTCAGATAGTATCCTTAGAGATCGATTGGATTGAAAAAAAATATTAACTCATCACTTGTCCTTGAAAAATATAAAATATAATACAAAAATGAGGTAGATTGTTTACCTATATGTAAAGGTTTGCTCGGGGTTGATAGGACAGTGTGACAGAGACCCAACACCGTCCATCCAGGGCGTGCCCCACTGTATGAGGCCATGCCAGTGTATCGTAACTCCCTCCGACATCAGCTTGTTTTTCACTACCACCTCCACCTAAACGAATCCGACACTACTGTTCATGAACAATTGCGGCATTGAAAAAATGAGAACACTTCATTAACTTCAGATGATGAAAATGAAAAAAAACACAAAGTTAAAAAAAAACCGGTGTTAATCATTGACTTAATTCTTATGCATTTCAATCTGAAACGAAAAGATTATGTATTTCTTTCTTTCCATTAGAATTGATATAGCGTAATCTGTTGAAGTCGATATATCGATCTTCCGCCATTTTTATTGTACAGGATCAAGTTGCAATGTCAATATTTGTATAAATAGATAAATAAAAAAATAAAAATGAAAGAAATGCGTTCATGAATTTACACCAAATTGTGATGACATACTGCTGTCAAGTGCCTGTATTCACGAAATCTTCTCAATCCAAAGTTGGGTTCTATGCTCAAGACGGATTTCGTGTTCCTATATTGTTTTGAAGCATATACTGTTTTCAATGAGTAGATCTGACTATTCGACCCTGTCGTTTCATTTAATCCAGTTAAAAGCAAGTTGGTTTGACCACTGAACCAATGCGTGAGAACTGTTTCATGAATGCGGGCCTTGATTGTGTCTGACCACGGAACAATATAAAGTCTAACCTGCTGTCCTTGATAAACCACGATGGACGGTCCAGGGTACTGACCATTGATGGTGTAGATCATTTTGTACTGGCCATCGGTCAGTAACACAGTTTCCAAATCTGACAAAAATGAACCAAGATATGGTTTACAAATGATAATGCATTTTTCACTGTGAAGAAAATTTTCTTTTCTTCTTTGTCCAGAATGCAAATAACATTCCCGGGAAAGAACGACGGTGATTCATACACTTCCTTACATTGCGTGTGTTCACTTAAATACGGATAAAAACCAAAGTCATATGGACCATATGAAAACGCAGTAAAGTATGTAGTATGTTTGTCTACAGACATTGGTGCACAACCTACTTAAAAATGGCAACGACCAACCGCATCTATCTGTCAACACTCATTAATAATTTCATAAATATTTCGAATCAGAAGAATTTTATCGGTGTTTAAAATTTTTACCTATTTACAAGTGGTGGACAGATACTTGGGTAGGTTACCGGTTTGTATCATATATTGTACATGAACATTGTGAACCTTGAATACGATAATATTGCAGCAATTTGAAAATATGACCTCACAAAATTCAACAGGGCCTACGGACTTGGCCGGGGTAATGGCCGTGCTAGTGGACATAGCGAGTAAGATGAGCTCATCGGTAGGTGAGAAAGTGGGTCAGACGGCCAGTAAGCCCACATACGCACAGGCTATGAACAATACAGGTGTACCGGGTATTGATGTACGTGACAAAGATGTCACACTGGATGCCAGTAATAACAGCACTATGGACGCGGGCGTGACCGATGGGGTCCTATACCCCCCGGGATACGGCACTGCTAAACCGGTGTTTTTGAAAGAAACGGATGTTTTTGAAGTTGACAATATTAACAATTTTAATAAACAATGGTTAAACCACACTGAGATGTATATGAGCTTGGGCGCTGTAATACCAGCAGAACGACTCAGTGGTATTCAACGTACCGGTAATGTGTGGCGAATATACCCAGACAACATTCCTGATCGCGTGAAATTACTCTCGACCGGTGTAACCGTTAGAGGGAAACACGTGTTCCTTATACCGGAAAATCCGCGACGCCCGAGGCATGATCCAATTAGCACAACGCGAATTAAAATATCAAATGTACCGTTATCAGCTGACGACGGGCTGATTAAGCGAGGTCTTGAGGAGCAAGGATGTGTTATACTAGACCTTTACAGGGAAAAACTAAGAATTAACAATAAACTTACCAATTGTGACACAGGAGATCGTATAGTGTTTGTAAAAAAACTGACATCAGAACTGCCGAGAACGCTACGACTCGGAAAATACTACAGTACCATTTGGTATTACGGACAACCAAAGACGGAAAGACAGACAGAAAAAAAACCAGAACAAAAATGTAACAAATGTCTAGAGACAGGACATAGTACGATAGATTGTAAGAATGACTGGACATGTTTCATCTGTAAGGAACGAGGACATAAACGACAAGATTGTACCAAGGACATGAATGAGTCAGAGACAGAGTCTGAGTCAGAGACAGAGTCTGAGTCAGAGACGGAGTCGAAATCAGAGACAGAGGCAGAGATATTCACAGAGACAGCGACAAACAACGAAACTGACAATCAACAACGAGACAACGAAAATAAGGCGGAGACTGGCAATACTGTAACAGAGAAAAAACAACAGAATAGAACATCAAGGAAAGATAGAAATGGACAGACAAACTCAATCAAACAATTTTTAGTCTCAGCTAAGGAAGGTTCTAAAACACCGGGGCAAGACAGAACGAGAAGCCTGTCAAAAAAAAGACCGCCTTCAGCAACAGAATTGAATGACGCAAAAAAATCAAAGAAAGGCACAGGAGAGAATGATGGTAATACACGATGAAGAAATATATACATATTCTCTCCCTTAATGTACAAGGGCTAAGAGACAAAGGAAAGAGACTGAGAACATACGAATGGTTAAAACAACAACAAACTGACATATTAATGATACAAGAAACACACTTCACTAATGAATTATGTGATGTAATAGATAATGAGGTAAATGAAGTATTACATTGTTTCCATAATTATGGGGAACGAAACAGTAAAGGAGTATCGATACTTATAAAAAAATCACTTAATGCTGTAGTTATTAACCACAGTATTTCTGATAATGGTCGATATATTTTAATGAATTTGAAAATTGGTGATAAAATGTTTACTTTAGTAAATATATATGCACCAAATATTGAAAATGAAAGGAACGCTTTTTTTAAATTAGTAACAAAAGAAATAAAGGAAAAGAGTATAGGAAGTACAATTATTGGGGGTGATTTTAATGAGGTACTTAATCAAAGAGACAGAAAAACAATAGGAAAGATTAGACATAAAAATATAACATATGGACTTAAACAATTGATACAAACAGCACACTTATTAGATATTTGGAGGCATAAGAACACAGATAGAATACAATATACGTGGAGACGAAACAGACAAGGGGCTGCAAGTAGAATAGACTATTTTTTAACAGAAAAGGGAAATTGCAGTATTATAAAATCAGCAGATATCCGTCCAGCTCAAATTAAATCTACAGACCATCAAGCAATATCACTGAAACTATTTATAGGTGACAAAAAGGGGCCGGGTGTATGGAAAATAAATAATAGTATTTTAGCAGATGAAGAATATAATATAATAATACAAGACAGTTTAAAGCAGTCAATTGAAATATGTAACAAGGAGAATTTAAATAAGAGAACAACATGGGATTATTGCAAGACAATGTTCAAACACGAAACTATTAATTATTGTGTTAACAAATCAAAGCAACGAAAGGCTGATATTGAAATATTGGAAAATAGGTTAAACCACTTACATAAGAAAATAAATTTAACAGAAAATGAACAGGTAAAAATAAAAGAAAATGAATCAAGGCTTGAAGATTTATACGAAAATAAAGCAAAAGGCGCACAGATTCGGGCTCGATCTAACTGGATAGAACAAGGAGAGAAAAATACAAAATATTTTTTAAACCTAGAAAAACACCGACAAACACAAAAAGTGATACATGAAATTGAAGACGAAAATGGGAAAAGAGTTCAAGAACCAGGGAAAATTATGAATACTATAAAACAATTCTATGAGAAATTATACCAATCCGATAAACAGAATGGTAATGACATAGATAGATACGTACAAAATATTGAAGAAATTAAGCAATTAACAGATAAAGATAGGGAGGTTTGTGATGGAGAATTAACATTAGAAGAATGCACGGCTGCGGTAAAAAAGAGGAAAAAAAATAAAAGTCCTGGAATGGATGGACTCTCAGTAGAATTTTATGAGCTTTTTTGGAAAAAAATAGGTACTTTAGTAACAGATGTATTAAATGAAGCATATGCTAATGGAGAGCTCAGTGTGACCCAAAAATATGGATTAGTAACATTGATTTATAAGAAAAATGAAATTGAAAAGCTGGAAAATTGGAGACCTATATCGTTGCTGAATATAGACTACAAAATTGCAGCACATGTATTAGCGACGCGACTGAAGGAGGTGATGCCTAAAATAATAAGCACAGATCAAAATGGGTACATTAAGAAGCGATTTAAAGGCTTTAATATAAGGCAAATCCAAGATGTAATTGATTATTTAGAAAAATTTAATATAGACTTGTGTACACTTTTTCTAGATTTTAAAAAGGCATTTGATACAATAGAATGGGACTTCATGTATGCTAGCTTATACAGATTTGGATTCGGTAAGTCATTTATTAATTGGATAAAAACATTATATTCAGATATTAAAGGATTGGTAAAAAATAATAATTGGATATCAGGTGAATATAAGATCTCAAGAGGAATTAGACAAGGTTGTCCGCTTTCTTGTTTAATCTTTGTAATTGCGGTGGAGCTAATGGCTACCAAAATAAGAAATACTGTTGATGTGAAAGGGTTTAAATTAAACAGAAAACACATCAAAATAGCGCAGCTTGCAGATGACACTACATTATTTTTGCAGTATAATGATATTCGTAAAGCTATTCAACTTGTAGAAGAATTTGGAAAATTCTCAGGATTGAAATTAAATAAAAATAAGACTGAGGGCTTATGGTTGGGTAGCAATAAAAGAAAAGGAAAACATTACGAGGGGATTAAATGGAAAACGGAAATTAAATCACTTGGAATATACTTTGGGACAAATACAAAAGTCTGTAATAATTTGAATTGGGAAAGTAAAAAGACAACAATGGATGAAATGCTTAAAAATTGGAAAAAAAGAAAACTCACTTTCATCGGAAAATCCGTTATAGTACAAACTCTTTTAATTCCAAAAATAACATATTTAGCAAATATGCAAATAATATCAAAGAGTCAAATAATTGAATTAGAGCAAAAGGTCTTTTGGTTTATATGGGAAGGTAGTGAAAAGGTGAAGAGAAAAACGATGATAGGACCGTATGAACAGGGCGGGCTGAAAATAAGAGATATTCAGTCACATATAGATATGTTGAGAGTGGGGTGGGTGAAAAGATTAATTGATGGCAGTGAAGCAAATTGGAAATCATTACCAGAAAAAATGTTTGATAGATATGGAAAAAAATATCTCATTTTTAAAATGAACATCGGTAAAATAACAAATCTTGGGAAAACTGATATATCTGATTTTTACATTGATATGTTAGAGGCGTGGATACGGCTAGGAGGGGGATTGAAACGAAATTGTAAAACATTTTATGATGTAAGAAAGGAAGTTATCTGGGGGAACAGCAATATAAAATTCAAAGGAAAATCACTTGTTTACAAACACTGGGCTGATAGTAACATAATAACAATCGATGATATTATTAATAGACACGGGAAAATAGACGAACAAAACATATTGAATAAATTACAAGATACTAGAAATTGGATAAGTGAAATAAACACTTTAAAAAATGCAATACCAAAAACGTGGTTAGATTTATTAAAAACAAATGAATCAAGATGCACACAAGTAAAATGTAGCAAAGGGTTTCTAACATATGATGGAAAACAGTATAAACAGATAGAAACTATTAATAATACATTTTTGTACAATGCGTTTATAGCAAAAAAGTGTATAAAAACGCACTCCATTGA